TGACAAGTGGCATGAGGTAATGCAAGTGACATGTTGCGGGCAAGGGGATGCAACCCCTAAAGATTTCGCCATAAGCGAGACTTCTCTTTTCAGGGAAAGCAGTGTGGGACTATTCGAAAGACGAATTGTCGGAAGAGCTCCCCAAGATCAGGTGAAGGACTTCTAGATGGGAGTGCAAGTTGAAGAGTTGAAGACTTGTTCGGTTTCCATAGCCAGGTTTATGAAGTCATTCCTGTCAGTCTCCTTTCTGCTGCCATGTCGCCCTCGTGTGCGTGGTCAATAGAGAAAATAGACTATGACAATGTGGCTTAAGAAAATTATTCACACCCTGCAAAAAACCGGAGCGAACATTGAGAAGAAAATCTTCGTGAAATTTGGGGGCTGCACTCAAGGTCCCCACGGTCATCACTAGCGTTGAACGATTAGACCCCCTTTTAAATATAGAGTGGGGTATTGAAAGATAATTCGCGAGCATAACCTTTTGACTCGTATCTTCAACGAGAAAACAGAAAGATTGGTGGCATTTTCGTGTATCTTGGGACAAACATTGAATCAACGTTTGTAGTGGTTTGCACAGATGTTGATCTGTGCTACCAACACACTCATGAGCGCAATGGCAGGAATCCCACCTCTTACAACCTCCGATTTTGATGAACTTCGGAAATTGCACTACGACAGATCCATCGCACGACCCGCCTCTAAGTCTGTGCCACCCACATTAAGTGATCATTGTCAATTACCCTGTGCACGGTGGCAACCTCGTGTACTATAGGTTCGAGATAACAAATTTGTTTCTTGCGGCCCCTTGCAACCTCCGCGAACTCCCGTTCTGTTTTTTGAATTCGGGTACGTGATGTGTCGCCAAAAAATGACGACCGCAACAGGCGGTAGTGCAAAAAAGAACGTCGGCAACGCATCAGCTTGCCGAAAGAGCGAACCAAATCGGGGGGGTTGAAACCGCCTGCACCTTTTAGCTGCCCTTGCCGAACGTATCCGCGACCAGTTACCAATGTTGCAGTAGGGCAAGCTGAAGAAAAAGGTTGCTTTTGCCATAAGGGTAAAACTTGAAAAAAGAAAAAAAAAAACAAGACGAGGGGGGGGTGGGAGCTCAGTTGGGAGTGGACATCAGAAGTCAGACGAAACGCGCGTGAAAAGTGAGCGCAACAAAACAACGGAAGAGGAAAATAATAAATAAATAAATAAATAAATGAAAACACGCCTTACACGCGAAACAACCGAGAAGTGGAACTCTACTCACATACAGTCTCGCTGTGCTATCACCGAATCTACGAAACGATAATGAATCTTTCGCTAGAACATTGAAAGATACACCGCCGTATTTTTTTTCTTTTGCACTTGTGGCGAGCAGTCAAACAAATCCAGGCTCGCTCGACTGCTCACCACAAGTAAAAAAGACAAAAAATATGGCGGCGTATCTTTCCATGTTCTAGCAAAAGATTCAATATTATTTCATAAGCTCGCTCGACCGCTCACCACAAGCGCAAAAGACAAAAAGTATGGCAGTCGGACCCTATGGGGGCACCTTTCAGTATACTCATAGATAAAGAAAAAGGTCGACAAAGGTACTGGCGGTTTAAGGGGGGTGGAATGGGTGCATGAGGCAATTTTAATTTCCGCGCAGTCTCTAGTCTCTCTCTCTCTCTCTGCGCAGTCTCTCTCTCTCTCTCTCTCTCTTTCTCTCAGAGAGAGAGAGAGAGAGAGAGAGAGAGAGAGAGAGAGAGAGAGAGAGAGAAGAGAGAGAGACTGTGCATTGTGAGAGAGAGACTCGACACACACACACATAGAGAGAGACGGGGAGTGAGAGAGAGGGAGAGAGAGAGAGAGAGAGAGAGAGAAGGTGAGAGAGTTAGAGAGTGCATAGAGAGAGAGGGAGGGAGGGACTCCGAGGGAGGGAGGGACTCCGAGGGAGAGAGAGAGAGAGAGAGAGAGAGAGAGAGAGAGAGAGAGAGAGAGAGA